TATGACTTTGAAGAAAAGCTAATTGATTAGGCTCCATAACTTTGCAAAGATTGCTTTCATTCTCTCACGTAAAACTTTTGGAAAAAAAAAAAAAAGAACATAGACAACTAAAATCATCTTTAATTAACCGCAAAGAATTAGAATCTACTTCCAAAAGACTTGGGAGATGTATGTCTTGCTAATCAGATAAGATGGAGGAGACGAATGCAATGAGATCAATAGAGAAAAGATCCTCAAAATACTTGTAAGCCAGATTAAGAAGCTAAGATAAATCTTCAGTCTAAGTACCATTTTCTTTTTTCATGCTACAAATGTAGTTTCGAGTCATTATAACATTTTAAGATTTGGGTAACATTAGGAAGGAATAATTTTATGGAAAATAAAAATTTTCATGTAATTATTGGAGTAAAGATAATTTACTAAAAAATGATTCAAATTCTGGGACTTAATCTAAAGACATACTTTTTAAAAAATAAAAAAAATAAGGCTAAATGGGATTAAATAAAAGTTATTTAAGATATATTTTTTTTCAACTCAATATTTTATAAATGTTTTAATGTTATGAACATTTAGTTAGACTAAAATATACAAACTTAACACTATAAGTTCTGGGAAAGACTAGGGGGAAAAAACCTTGGATGGAATTTAAAAAAAAAAAAAAACCACAAGAAGGGAAAACAATCAATGAATGTGTTAAAATAATTGGGCCACGGCAAACACACCCAACCCAAACATGGCCCACATGCACACCGACCCAATTTTATATTTCATCACCTTTCCCTCTCCAGCGTCTTTTCCAGGTTTTGCGCGGGGAAGAGAAGCAGTGGCGTCCCCAGGTGTGTCGCCGGGAAGGGGTGATTTTTAGAGCTAAATCTAATTGTAAGATATTTTGGGTGTGATTTGAAGTTTTTTAAAATTGGATAAGTGTTTTAAATATTTTCTTAAATATATTTTTTTGTCTTTTTTTTTAAATTTTTGACAATGAAAAATTAGGGTTTTTATAATTTCGAATTTAGGATAGTTTTAATTGATAAATTTGAGTTTAAATATATTAGTGGAGTTTGATCGGTTAAGATTTGTTTAAGTGTTTGATTTGGAAAATTTGAGGTTATGATTTGCAATAAAGTAAATGTTTAAGAAAATTAATTATGGTTTAAATTTAAGTTTAATACTTGAGTTGTCATAATTAATTAGATTGAAATTGAGATTTATTTTAGAATTTATTGTTTGGACTTAAATTGAAATTTGAGAATTTTATAAGAACCTTAAAGGAATTTCATATAATTTTTAAACCAATTAAATCTCAATTTCAATGTATATAAAACGGTGAATGTCATTAATCACCTCAAACTTTCATTTTATTATAAATCCTAATATTAAATCTTTAAAATCAAACATTTGAAACACTTAATACAACTTCATCAATATATTTAAAATTAAATTGATTCGTTAAAACTATTTCAAACTCGAAATTATAAAATCTTAATTTTTTACTATCAAGAATTCCAAAAATAAGAAAAAAATGACACTTAGAAGAAAAATATTTAGAATACTTATTTAGTCTTAAAAAATTTTAAATTACACCCAAAATATCTTATAATGAAGCCTAGTTCCAAAAATCACTCCTTCGCATGGTCACACTACGGCGACACTACTCATTCAACACTGAAGATATTTAGTTCATGCCACATGTTTGACATGTATATTTTGAATGTCTGCTTCTAATAAATAATGTTTCTTTTGAATTCTTCCTTCATAGTTCATACGCCCAGTCTTTGATTTATGAACTATGAGGTGCATCTCAGTTCCCAAGTTCTGCTCTTGAGCTAGAATTTCAATGATCTAAATTGCAGCTGAAATAAAGTTCTTTTGGAGTTGATAAATTGAATTGATAATTTCTTGCAATTTATTATGGACCTCATTTAAAGTTGATCTAGTTCTTTTACAACAAAGAAAAGCTATGACCAACCCTGTTTTGGATTATAAGCATATATATGCTCATGTTAAAAAGTTGAACTTGCTTGAATGGTTTTTAAATATTTATTTCTTTTGTCAAACAGAATAAATACGTTTCTTCCCTGTCTTAGTTCAAAGTCCTTTAAGATGGTTTCTCCTCTTAACAAGAGGTGAAGTTAACTATCATGAATATGTGATGCTTGGGTTCTTGAATCTCCAACTTTTATGTTTATACTTTTCTTGGATGTAGATTAGGCTTGATGTATTTATAATATGAAAAATTTCATTTCTAACTTACAGGCAAAAGCGTATGAAGTATGCTTTCTTACAATGAAATTGCAGGTGTTAATTCTCTTGCTCCTAATGATGTTTTGGGTCCAGGTTCTCTGACGTGTGAGAACAGCAACATTTGTTTGTACAACTCTAGTGTGTAATTATACAAACAAATGCTCAATTGATATAACTTTGAGGTTATTAATTTTAAGTTAGGAGTCATTTTTGTCTTTGAATTTTTTGTATAGGATTTGTGGAGATTTAGAACTTGATTTGGGTCCTTTTTGTTTTTAAATTGTTAAATTTTAATTATCCTTATTTTACTAGTCACATGTCACTTGTTGACCATTTTTTGCTTACGTAAATGCAATTTAAAATATGTTTGATTAGGTTTTTTAATATTTAAATAAGAAAATAATCCAAAAAATTGAAGTTAAAATATCAAGTGTTCCTAAATGAATATTTCAATGGCAAAAGTGGTTCTATTAAATTCTAAGTGGTCATCCACTTGGACACCATGTGATCTAAAAATTCAACAAAACCTATCTAACTAATCAAATAACGGTCGTGGTGTGTAAATGGTAAAATAATGAGGCGTTGAATTTTAAGAATTCAAGAGCAAAAATAATTCAAAATCAAGTTGAGTTTAGAACATCCGTGGACCTTATCCCGAAGGCAATACTCTTAACGCTACAAATTAATATCAATACTACACTATGACTAGTAGTTGAAGTTGTCAATTTTGAGGCATGGGTTTTTATTTTATTTTAGTTTTTTTAATAAAAGGTCAAATGCATTAAAATAATAGAAACAATGAACAAGAATCACCTGTTAGAGCAAGCTAAGTCAACACACGAATTGATTCTAATATGCAATACTTCCTCCTTCCTTATATATAAGATGTTTTTGATATAATCACATAAACTAATAAAAATTAGTTATCTAATTAAAAACATAACAATATTTAATTTTTTTAATTATTGTAAATAAAAAATGAATTTTTTTTAAAAGTAAATTAATGACAATACTTATCTTTTTTTCTTTCCAATTTAATAAAGATATAATAGCTCATTTATTAAAAAATATGTTAATAAACTCTTATATTTAAGGATAAAAAAGGGTTTTAGAAGATTTTTTATACATGAGGATGGTAGAAGTAAGTTAGAATTGCAAAAAAATTCTAATATGCAATAAGCTTATTACTTTTACATACTCAATGATAACATAAACTCGTGAATTGAATTGAGTAGTTAGCTTGTTGTTCCGCAGTAAAATTGCAAAGACGCTACTCGGGACAAGCTTTATGATAATACTTTGACTGATCATGTTAATAATAATGTTTACCCTTGAAATTGTATCATTAAAATAATCTGATGGTGTTTTAAAAAAAAAAAAGAATCTTGTAATATGTCTGAATTAATGTAAATTTGAATTTAGATCAAATTTTTCATTTGAATAAATAAAATTTTATGAATTTGAATTTGATTTAAATTCTAATTTATCTCTTATTATATTTCTTTTATGATTTTAAATTTTTCCTACATCGTAGTTATTTATTTTTGAAAAATTGCTAAAAAAATATAAAACTCTACTGCTTCAAAATTTCAAGATATTAAATTAAATTAATTAAAACTAAGAGATTTCTTATTTCATGTAGAAATTAATTATTTTAAAAAATAATTAGCAAGATTTAAAATGCAAGCATTACAAGTGATACATAGAAAATTACAATTAGAGTGCTAGCCGCTTTGATTTCATCACCATGCATTGCGTACAATTCAAGGTACGCGTTCCCCAAGCTTGCTCACTTTCTTCCATCTTCCTCGTCTCTCGTGCCTCCCACTTCCCATTATTCTCTCAGTAGCAAGTCCTTCTTGCCCACTCCCAAACCTCAAATGCAAATAACATCAACCACAGCGTCGCTTCATTCAATTGCTTACTCCATATGCGTCCCCCACCTTCCACCATCCAAATTACCAAGCATTTAGGATCCATTGTCAAGAATAAGGACTATCGTACAGCCGTCTCACTTTTTGCCTAAGTGGAGTTCATGGGACTCAAACCCGATTTATTTACTATCACCATCTTGATGAATTTTTACTCCCATATAGGTCAGATGAATTCTGCTTTCTCGATACTGGGGAGGATTCTCAAGATGGGAATTCAACCAAGTAGCATAACTCTGACTGCATTGTTAAATGGGCTCTGTAATAATAACAAGGTTGGGGAAGCACTTGACTTTTATGACAATCTAATGGCTAAAGGATTTCAATTGGATGAATTTAGTTGAGGAACATTGATCAACGGCCTGTGCAAAATGGGGAAATGAAGGTCTGCGATCAAATTTGTCCAAATAATGGACAGGAAAGGAAGTAAATCTGATGCAGTCATATATAGCACTATCATTGATAGCCTTTGCAAATATGGACGTGTCATTGAGGCGCATGGATTGTATTTAAAGATGGTTGATCAAGGAATTTTTCCAACTACTGTAACTAATACTTCCCTAATCCATTTTTACTGCAGTAGGGGACAGTGGAAAAATGCTGAACGATTGCTCCATGAAATGGCATTGAAAGACATCAAACCTAACATTTATACATTTAGCATATTGGTTGATGCATTTTGTAAAGAAAGGAGGATTGTAGAAGCTCAAACAGTGTTTGCTAGGATGATGAAATATGGCGAGAGACCTAATGTGGTAACTTTCTCTAATGGATGGATATTGTTTAGTGAATAATTCGAGTGAGTCAAAAGAAGTACTCAATAAGATGGTTCAAGGTGGTTTGGTAGCTGATGTATCTAGTTACACCATCTTGATGAACGGATTTTGTAGGACTAAAATGGTGGATACAGGTATAGATCTTTTTCAAGAAATGCGTCAGAAAAACTTGGTTCCTAATGCAAGAACTTACAACTCTTTTATTTATGGCTTGTTCAAATTAGGGAGAATGTCAGCTGTGCAAGATCTTGTTTACGAGATGCATGAAAGTGGTCATGCTCCTAATAGAGTCACATATACCATTTTGTTAGACGCATCTTGCAAATATGGAAATCTTGAGCAAGGGATTGCGTTATTTAGGCTAATGGTCGCCCAGAGAATTCAACCTAATTTGTGCACATACAATATACTTATTGATGGTTTATGTAAAGGCAGTAAACTAAATGATGCTCGAGAGATTTTTCAATACCTTCTGATCAACGGATATCAGCTAGATGGCTATTCATATATCATTATGATCAATGGGCTTTGCAAAAAAGGTTTGTTTGACGAAGCCATGTCCTTTTTCCCAAGAATGAAAGCGAGTGGGCATCTCCCTAGTTCAATAACATTAACATATAGAATACTTATTCAAACTCTTGGAAAAGTGTGAGAATGAGATAAGGCTGAGAAGCTTCTTCATGAAACGATTGGCGGTGGTCTTCGAAATTGATCAAATAAGGTTGAATGCGCTAGTCTTGATATGTATTATACTTGTGTAAATGTTGAAATTTGTCTTTAAGGGCTAGCAAATTCTTGTTCATTTCCAATTAAAATTTTTTCGATGATACAATGACCAAAATGTTGTTTAAGAAATTTTTTAAAGCAATATGTTTGACATATTTGTTTTGACTGTGCTTGTTTCTAGTGGATAATTTGCCTTGAACATGACTGTATTCCCTCATCCATCATAGTTCATCCAAAATGTGATATATAAACTTTCAGGCGTATCTCGGTTCTGCTCTTGTATTAGAATTGTAGTGATCGCAATTGCAGCTATAATATTGTTTTCTTGGATTTCATAAACTGAGTTGATAATTATTCCTTTCAGTATATCATAGACTACAGAAAAAGTTCATTAGGCTCTTTTAGACAAGAAAATCAGCGTCTGAACTTGTTTTGGAGTTTAAGCATAAATGAAAAGTATATGCGTCTGTATTATACTAATGGTGAAGTTGAATTTGGTTGTTTGGTTTCCAAATGTTTGTTTTTATGGTAAACCGAACAAACATCTTTTTTTTCTTTGTCATAATTCAAAGTCCTTCGACCATCATGAATATGTGATGCTGGAGTTCTTGAATCTCAAATTTATAAATTTAGATTTGTCTTGAAAATAATTCTGTTAGCAGGTTTACCTATTAAAATGACATTGTGCAATCCATATAGTCAATTCTACCTAATGTGACAAGGTTTATTGTTGTTCACCTGTTGTGTTTTTTATTCATTGCATTTCTAACTTTAGATAAACCTATATACAAACTATGTTTTCTGACAAGGAAATTGCAAGTATGATTGTGCTTCTCTTGATATTAAGGATTGTTTGGGCTTTCGTTCTCAGCATCTTGTTGGAACAGCGGCATTTGCTTGTACAACTGTTGTCTGAGATGCATTATTGGAAATGATAGTGTCATGAACTTTGATTTTCAATTGGATAATCTTGATCTTACAAATTCAGTTAAAGTGTCCAGAAACATTGTAGTTGAAGCGTTTGACTTTATGGTTTTGCCCATGAAGATCTTTGAGGCCCATTGATCTAATGTGGCAGGCTGTAATTTCCAAATGAAGTAGGTATTTATAATTGTGCAAGGAAGTGGGTTTTTGAATAATAAGGAGGCAAAGCCTTAGTAAAAAATAGGTAGATCGCTACCATAGGCCATATGATCATTCAACAAATTCTGATTTAGGAGACTTCTACAGTTAGAAGGTAGTTCTATCATAACTTTTATTTCTTCAATTATATCTAGGGCATTACGTGTGAGCCAATTGGCATAGATATTGGCTTCTCTAAAAATATGGTCATAAGATATCTCACAATACTTTAGAATCAAATCTCAAATCTCCTAAAACATTTAAATTTTTGATGCAGGTGTCTCTATGGACTTCACAACTCTTGGCACTAGCAAATGAGGAAAGAAGTAATAGACAGAACCTCAAGAATGGATCCAACGGACAACATTACAACATGTCATCCATGTAGCTATTGACAACAGGAACGATGCCTTTGGATTGCACCGTTAAGTTGCGTTCAATTACCCAATCAGCTAAAAGCTCGGGGGGGGGGGGGGGGAAGAAAAACGGGGGGGAAGAAAAAACAACCCTTGAATCTTTCTCTGCATCTCCTTAGCTTCCTATTGTGCCAATTTTCCAAAATTGTCCACCTTGAATCATTTACACAATTTTGACATTTCATCCATATATTAATTTTATTTTATTGAATATTTAAGGTTGCATTGCACAAAATTCTTCCATATACATGTAAATAATTTTCTTGATCTTTAAAACTTGATGTGAACTCCTCAAACTTTTAAATTTATGCAGACTAAATTGACCAAAATAAACATATCTTTTTGTTCAATCATGCATGACCAAATCTTTTATAATCTTGATTTTTCTTTTGGCAAGAGGATGATATTTTAAACCTTGTTCTAGGGGATAAAAACTTGGACAATCAAGATTTAAAATTTATGATTAAGTATTCTGATTGTATTTTAATTAATTTTTGGAACATATATAACAAGAGGGAATGTTGGTCTGGTAGAAATTATGCTGACAACTAATCTATCAAGTCTTGGTTTGAGTCTTGCAGATGCATAGGGGCATACAACATTACCGATTGAACAAGCAGCAATTCCTACTTGGCATCAGCACTTGCTATAGAAGAAGCAATTGTTAGCTTTAACACAAGACTGAAGTCATGGTTTGTAAGCTCTAACACGAGACTAAAGTCACGGTTATCTTTGCAAATGTTGAAGCATGAATGTAGATCCCCTAAATCTTGATACTGATAGAATTTTATTTTTATTTTAATCTTTAAATACATTACCATTATGCCCCTCTTGGAATATAAATAAAATGGTATGCACACGCACTCAAGGTTTGAATTATTCTAACCCCTTCTTTCATTTTTTCTGCTTCGACAGAGATAGATGTGGCGACAGTGAGTTTGAGAAGCTTCATATCACCGCCCTTCCTCCTCCTCTTTTGGATCACCTGTTGCCAAGAACTATATGGGTGTGCCATTCGTCCACTGCTTTGGTGGTTTCATGGGGTTGCGATCTCTTCTTCTTCTTCTTCCTTCCTTGTTTCAGCACCATTCGTCCTTCTTCTTCTTCCTCCGCTCATGTCATGCTGTGGGTTGCTATGCATGGGTAAGAGATAAGATGATGTTCAAGCAAGCTAAAAATGAGGACTAGGAAGTTTATTTAGGTAGGCAAGTAACCCTTAAACATTTTGATTATTGTAAGAGGAAGTGAATTTAGAGTTAATTTTCTTTAAGCTTGAATTGAATGTAATTGAAGGGATGTGATTTAATAAGGTCAGTCAATTTGATAGTTTATATTGAAAATTGTTGGGAAGAGACTTGTATAGAAAAGAGTTTGAAATTATAATATAAGAATTAATGTTTGTAAGGTGTTTGTTAAAATATTTTTTAGGAGAAATTTGATTATGTTGGTAAATATATGTAATGATTGTATTATTAGTTAATTAAAATATTATGAAGACGATTATTCTCTATAATAAAGTTAGAATTAGAAATTTTTGAAAAAGATATTTTGATTGATAATTCAATGGTCAAAGTTGCTTATTTTTATATGTTAACTTTGGAAATACCTATAGAGAGGGTTTGGTGTAATTTTTGAAAGGGTTGAGGTTGAAATTTCTTCCTTCTCTATTTTTTTAAATTATGTTGGACAGGGCATTTTGGATTATAAATTATGCATATAAGAAAATGACAATGGTGTTATTAGGGCGCTAAAATTTGAGGACCAAATATGTTGTGAGAGGTCCCATTAAGAGTAATTTATATGTATTTGATAATATAAAAGGTAAGTGAATAGCGTCTTAACTGATTTACATATAAAATTATTTTTTTAAATATTATATTTTTATGTAGATTATTTTAATAACAACTATGTTAAGTATTAGATATTTTATAATTTAAATTTCCTTATCTTGTGAAATTATAAAGCGATGATGAAAAATAATTAAATTATGGTATGTGTATGTATTTTTTCTCATGAAATATACTTTCAATGTTGATGAAATTATTTTTATCAACTATGATAATTTTGGTTACTCAATAAATGCAAGTATGGACATTAATTATGAAATTTTATTCTGACAAGTTTTGATGCTCAAAACTATTCATGTGTTTGATTTTGAGAATGAAAATTGTATTTTAATAGTGATGATTCTTATAACACCCTAAATTTTTTTTCCCAAAACAATTAATTAAGCCACCTATCAACTTACCAAATAATTTTTATAGTTTGTAATAAACCTAATAGAAGAGGAAAAATAAAAATAGTTATACATTTTAAGATCTTAAAACCACCTATCAACTTGCCAAATAATATAAGATAATTTTTATTATTGTAATACACATTTACTACTACAGTTAGATTACAATCACCCAACATTTTTTATACAAATAAATCTAATATAAAAACATTAATAATTGGTTTAGATTTGCACACTTTAACACCTCAAATAAATTTTAACTTCTCACATGCTATTAAGCGAGAATCACATTTTTTCTAACCTTATACTCCCAACAAATACAAACCATAAGCTCACAACCAAAATAGATAACTCGATTAATTTTCAAAACAAGCCAATTACAAAGCCTAATAATGATATTATTTCAAACCATTCAAAATAAACCAGACATCAAGGTTACAGTCATTTAAAGTGTACCAAAAGCACAAACAAATAGTTTGAAAAGCATGATTACATCATTACATTCATATAATTATTAATAAATAAAAAACCATAGCATTGATAATATAACACATTAAAAAATTATAAATTAAAATATCCAAAAGAGACAATGAATTTGTGCTGCTAAGCCTTAAGGACTTTGCCACATATCATTCATGGCTCTTCTCCTAAAAATTTATATATAAACAGTTAAATGTGTGCTTGATTAGCGGAGAAACAACAATTATATAATTTCAACAAAAATAGATAAGAAATATTATAATACATGACAAATAATCAACCTTATCTCCCTTCATTAACTTTGAATTGTAGCCCTCATTTAGTGCTAAATTATTCGATCAAATGTAGATTAGCTTCAGCCCTTACAAATCACCTATTAGGCCTCTAATAAGAGTGTATCACGTCGTACAAAAATACAATAACAAGAAATCTTCTAACACATCTCACAAAAATCAAACAAGGACATATCAATGTTGTACAATTATATAATACTACAATCTTCATAATTTTTTTATTTTCAACAATATCACAATATAACATCCCATTTGGAAAAAACATTTAAAAATATGTATTTACCATTTCATAATTTTTTCATAAACACAACAAAATAATTTCCCAATAACAATTCACAATTTTTCAATAATCACACAAAATAACATGAAGTAACACTAATCACAAATTAAAGCGTGGTTACCTTATGGTTTTTTCAATAAAATATTTCTTACAATTTCTCTTACACCACAATTTTCACCAACAACACAATTTATAAATAATATATTATTTATAAATATTAGTTTTTAATTATTGAAACTAATAAAATAACTTTAATAATAGAATTACATAATATAGCATAATTTCTAATCTCATTATTAATATAAATTTAGAGTTAGTACTATCAAGTAAAATTTTTAATCCCTCTTTTAATCATCAACAAATACTAATAAACTAAAATCAAGCTCTAAAACATTTTTATTATCAAAATTTTTCTTTTTATTTCATAAATTTATACTTAAAAATATTCAAAAATTATAAATTTATTCTCAAGTCTAGAATCATCATTTTATAACCATAATAATCTATTTTTTATCTCAAATAATTATCTAAACCTAAATAAATTAATATATATTTTTAGATTTAACAAAAATCTATCCATAAAAGTCTAGGGTTTAAATCAAAACCTCAAATTCAAATCTCATCATAAATTTATACTTTAAAATATTTATTATACTACTAACAATCTCAACAATTATATTTATTCAATATAAATTTATCTCTCTTTCTAATTTTAAATTTTTTATCATCATCAAATCAGAAATTAAAAGAGGAATTTGGGTGTGTGTTTGTTTTTTAAAAGATATGGGTCTCACGACCTAAAACTTTCTCTTTCATCTTTTTTTTTTTTTCCTTTTCGATATACCTACTATAATCTCCCCACCCCCATCCTCTCCTCTCTCTCTCTCTCCTCTCTCTCCTCTCTCTCTCTACATACATACGTACATATGCATATATACACACTTACACAACCAAACATCCGTCCCCGACTTTTTTTTTTTAATAACAATGACAATGGTAATAATAATTATATTTTCTAATAATTTTAACATAGAATTTTATCTTAAATTAATTCAAAATTATTTTATAAATAATTTACTAACCTCTAAATATTTTTTAAACTTTTTATTAACCTAAATTAGCTAATAAAATTTAAATTGGGATGTTACCATTTCTTATCTTTTGAAAATATATTTCGAGGAGATTTTATACAAAACACTAATTGTTAAAAAATTCAATTAACTTTTGGTATGCTATGG